CCAGGCAGACAAGTACCAGGATAGATCGCGTTCAGCCGCTGACTGAAAACACAAAGCCTACAACTGCATGAGCAGCTCAGTTCAGGAACTGCAGGGTATCCCAAAGGCTCCGACCCTACTTTCGTCTGCTCTGTGCCTGCGTCACCGTCGGCCCTGCTGGGATTCCCCCATGGCTCCGGCCCCGGCAGTGAAGTAACCTGTGAGTTTTTTTCCCTGCATTTTTTGGCAGGAACACAGAGTTAAAGCCCCACGTGCCGCTCAGGCCCTTCAGAAATGTAGCTTTTGGCACAGAAACAGCTGAAAGCCTGCCAAGCCGCGCTGCTTCCCACTTTTTTTAATAGCTGGGAAACTTGTGGTGTGCAGACAGCACGTGCATTGACTGTGATACAAATCAGGCAGATATTAGGTGAGTTATTACAACATTAAAGTGCCTAATGCAGGCAAAGCCCACACCCTCATGACATGATATTTAAAGCACTCTTTAAAACCCAGCAGGATTATAGTTTGATAACAGGCGTCAGACCTGTTTGTCTAGTCTGTGCATGTCTGTCATTAATTCACAGCCACTAACCAGTTTAGTGGCCAACTACCAGCGACGGCCACTCATTCATCCATGATGCTCGGAGGCTAACTGAGCAGGCTATTTGTATATTACAATCACTGATTACAAATACCCCCGGGCTGAGATCAGGCGTGTGAGCTGACAGGAAGCTGTCTGGATTAAGGATGCAGGATATATAGGAGTCTATAAAGTATTGGACAATAATGGAACATTTACATTGTTATGTATTATTGTGCTAATATAATTATAAACGACACATTTAGATACCTTCAAGCTAAATATCCTTACACAAGTGCCTTTCAGTTCTGTGAAAGCCTTTTTGTTTTGTATTGAGCATTTAATACATTGACATGACAGATTTGAAACAAAATGCTCTACTTAAAGGTGGGGTAGGTAAGTTTGAGAAACCGGCTCGAGATAAACTTTTTGTTATATTCCATGGAATGCTCTTAACATCCCGATAGCAATGAATATCTTAAGTGCTTTGACAAAAAATCCATACAAAAATGTCATCTGTGGAAGCCGTAGTACTGTAAAAAGCACGACCAATCATTTTAGCCGGCCCGGCTAAAATAACTGGATGGCCTACCTGCCTGTCAGCCTTCCATCTGTGCACAAACTTATCTCGTGCCCTCACTGGTCATGTGCGCGTTCGTGTGTGTTGGAGGAGGGGCTCTGTAAGGAAGTGGCAGATTTTTTCCGGCTGTGTATTTTCAAATTCTAGCGATCTCGAGCTGGTTTCTCCAAAATTACCTACCCCACCTTTAAGTATGTTTGTCAAGTTTGTAGATTTACAATAAAAAATAGGTACATTTGAAGGTTCAGAAATGGGTGATACTAAATCATCTATCTTTACACTAGATCATAGCCTTCCTCACCCTCAGATTTGCATAAAATACAGGTTATGAACTTCTTTTTTTTTTTAAATGCAAAAATCTAAAAAGATCAGTTAGCTTGTCTGTACCGGCCATAGGAAGGAGGTAATTGTCGATTAACTGTTAACAGGGATGACTGCTTTGCATCTTGATGTGTACATTGAACAAACACGGAGAGGTGTGAATATACAAACATCATCATCAAACAAAAATGCTGAAGGGGCTTATGCCTAATAAACCTGTCAACACAGATCACAACAAACACTTGATCCGAGAAGATGCTGCAGAGACCAGCTTACATGTAAAGAGGAACACTCCCAGAAACCAAGAGCACACAACGTCAAAACAACAAGAGGAAAAACACAGATTCCTTAATCATTACATTTCATTTGGCTGATGCTTTTATCCAAAGCGACTCACAATAAGTTAAAAAAACCATAAAGACTCAAACTGCGAACAAGAAGGAAAGTGCAGATATATTCACTTCAAGCAAGTCATACCATTGTAAGGGCTGGTGAAATAGTTACAAAGCCTAAATTAACTTTTTCAAGTGCTTTCTTTTTTTTCTTATTCATCAACTATTCAGAAAAAAGCAACAAATATATTTAATCAACAATGTTGTTAAAAACTCTGAAAAGCAGCACATTCTCACTGGATGGAGCCTGCAAGTGTGGGCATTTTTTCTTGATAAATTATTGATGATAATCAATTATTAAAGTTGTTTTCGATTATTTTTCTGATGACCAACCATTCCAGCACTGCATCAAGTTGCTCTACATTTAATCTCTTTAAATGAAGGAGAGGTTAAATCCCATACGCTGTACAACACGGAAACCTGCTTTTTAGCATTGAAAGAAACAACTACCAAATAATCATGAAAATCCTCAAAGTATGTGAAACCACAATGAAGAGCAACAACAAGCCGTCTTTATGTAAACCTGGTTTCATTTAACACAGAGTTGTATACGTTGAGGGACCAAATGCTTTATGGCACAACAAGGGGAGGCCTTTTAAGACCTGAACTTGATCACCGGCCATACGTTTGTAATCCAGGGCCAATCACTGCGTAAACACCCCCGTCCATCCACTGGCTGCAGCAGTATTTCTCTGCATTGAAACACAGAGCTGGGGCAGTAGTCCTGTGTGGGCCACAGCATACCATATGCCAGATTGGACCAAACAGATTAGTGTGGCAACTTCTGGGCGAGCCTCTAAGGTGATTGGAGCATGGTTGGGTGCAGGGTGCGAAAAGATCATAATAATAATAATCATATTGGGATACCGCAGTTGCAAAAATTGAACACCTCACATTTTATCTTTGTTTGTCAACCACAATTTTAAGCCGTCGCATGGAGGACATTTGCCATAGGAAGGTGACCTGCCTTCTGAGATAAATGTTTCGAGTCAAACGTTGTGGGTAGCGACATAAGAAACAAGGTGCCGTAAAACCTGACTAATATTGGACAAAATACTGGTGATGAAATAATTGTTTCTCCATAGATATCTAAAAGTAAACGTCCCCTTCATCCATGGTTTCAAAATCATCTACCAATTACTTTGTGACATCACAGAAAAACTGTCAGACCCAAGAACATTTCATAACCTTGTTCCCGTCAGAATGACACGCATATATATATAGTACATAATGTACATCTGAAATAAAGCAGCTATAGGTTGTTTAAAAAAAAAAAAACTATCTTCAAGTTCTCATCTTGACAGCCTCTGAAAATGCATTAGATCAGACCAGAACAATTCAACTCGCCACTTTCTATAACTGCTCTCAGTACATATATATGTTTAAGGACTAAGTACTATACAAGGCTTTTAAGCTATACTAGCTTCCTGTGACTGTGTTCCCCCACCCCCACTACTTGGTGAAAAAACTATAGTCTAAAAACAACCACAAAAAAGTCACTTGTAGTTGTGGATGTGGAGCTCTTCAGGGTGGACTAACCAACCAGACTCTCCTGAAAAATACAGTCAGGAGGGCTACTGAGTTCTTTTTTAATCCATTTGAAATGACAAGTGACAAGTTTGGTGCCCCCTTCTCATATCCACTGACGTCATACAGAAGGATAAAGAGGATTTTACCACCACCCTGCTGTTGTACTGAAGGCAGTTCATTGTGTCCATATCACTCCCCTGACATGTTGGACTTGTCTTGATCTCTGCCACTAACAGATAGTGACAGACTCTTTTATCCACAAACACCACCTTTGTTACGCACTTCCACTTTCCACTTGAGAGAGCAGCCTAAACACTTTTAAGAAATGATATCAGTTGGATTTTAGAATGAGGTAGATCTGCGCCTGTGTTTTACCTTGACAGGTAGTTTTACATCCTTAATTAAATGTAGGCTGATTATGCGTGTTAAGCTCTCAAACAGGGCTGACATTTGCAGGATTACCAAAAAACGACTGGCCAGATTTTCATGACACTTTGAAGCTTTGGCCACTGAAGAACCCATTACATGTTGCAGTTGATCTAAATCAAATAGGGGATACACAAACTATGTTGAGAGGCATTTAAGTGAAAGCATCACTTTAATTAATTGAAATTAAGTGTTATCGGCTACATATAACTCAGAACATGTTTTGAATCAATCTCAAACTAGTGGGCTACTACAGCACAAAGCACAGTGGTAAAAAGTAATCCTACACTCTTTCTTCAGAAATGTAGTTGAAATAATTGTAGTTACCTTTTACCACTCTGTTTTTGGAATAATTAGTGCTTCAAATCCATTCATAAAGCTACATGTGACTCTGAATCACCCCCCTGAATCGGTTTTGACCCCCTACATGACATTTCATCACACCAAAAGTGCTGTATAAACCAACTAGTTGATGCTGTCACATTCACTGACTGTTAGTCAACTCAAATTCCAATAAGATGTAGGCCTCTGACGTCAGACGATTTTTAATGGCGTGATAGCTAAAAAATGAGTTACAAATTGTACAGGACGTGACGACGCCGAGTATTTAAATAATTTCGAAATAATTGAATTCGACAATTTTGTCCACAAATCTTTAACAGGTAACACGAGTGGGTTAGTTTAAATCCGTTATTTTGCTAACACCGGACTATATTGTCAATTATCAGCTTGTTATATGAAGTAGTGCTGCGAGCAGAGTTATGGTTTTACATTTCTTCGAGTATTTTGGTGAGAACGTTAGTACACTTTATAACTGACAGTTACGGTAATATGACCACTGGTTGTTTAATTATAAGACGTCATTGTATTTTTACTATTTATTAGTTTAAAATGCAATTGTAATCACCCCAAAAAGGTGCATTATAATCAAAGACCCGTTAGATATTACTACAAGGCATAGTGCAGTTAAAGTGAGTGTGGTTTAGATTACGTAGGTTGGGTGACATATGGCAGGTGAGCCCCTCCGCTACCTTCACAATGCACTATCGATCAGGCGATTTGATAACGTCGCATCGATTAAAAAGAAAAAGAAAAGCTGTGTCCTGTAAGTGACAAGTAAAAAAACGGAAGCAACAAAAACGAAAAACCGTATAAATAAGATAAACAGAGAAAAAAAAGGATATAAACTTACCACATCGGCTTCCGTTCGGTTTTTACACTCTTTGGAACCGGAAGAAACATTCCTGTTTTCCCCGTCTCTGAATCCAGACTCGATTACACACAGAGAGGAAAACACCAGAAAGAGGAAGAGGAGAGGAGGTTCGTGTGTTTATCGGCTGGAAATAAAGTGGTTTCATGTGACTGCATGATATCCACGCATTCGTCTTTTGCGTGTAATTGTGTTTTCAGAGTTTGAGTGTCGGGTTGAGGCAGCAGACAGCCGGAGAGAGAGAGAGAGGCGTGGAGAGACGCTCCGGCCTGCACGCTCACATCATTGGTTGACAAACAGTAATCAGATGCAAATTCCTAACCTCTGAATCAGCAGGGGCCAGCCCCCCCATGCACCCCCCACCCACAGGAGCAGGGGGTGTCTGTAAATGCACGGCTGTGAATTATATAAAGTGGGCTGGGAGTGGGCACTTACTCACACACACCCTTTTTCATATGTTCCTAATACACACAAGTGTTTATCCTTGTCGATTATTGTAGTATACCGTTTTTATTCTTTATATACTATTTTATTTATTTGTATGTCTCAACTTTTCTATGTTGCAATGTTGGAAGGGCCTGGGTCCGAAGTTTATCTGAAACGTTATACATGATGATTTTCCAATTCAATATAGTTATCAAGTATAATTTATATTCATATTTATGTTTTTCAATTTTTAGTTTTTTAATATTTTATGGCATATGTCATTAAGCTTGTGGTAACTTGTCTGTTGTGTTTACATTTTCTATCGGTGTAGATTTTTAGGGACGGTCCCTTAGTGGAGAGCCCCTGTTCAGCATTAAGGCTGAAGGGAGAAATACTACTCTGTTTGGTGTGGAAACTGCATAAAATAAGCTTTAAAGTGAATCAGAATTCATCTTATTTAATTAAACCAGCCTTTTATAAAACTGACTTGTAGTTTTTTTTTCATCCAAGCAAATTGTACAGCTAAAGTGTCATTTAATGAGGGTGGATCTTTTTTCTTTCAGAACACATGAGGAGCCCTACTAACTGAATGAATGATAAATTGATTTTTTAACACTAAACAAGAGATAGTAAGATATCACCAGACTGATAGAAACTACTAATGCTGAGTTGCAGACTTGATCTTTGGTTTATCTTGGTTTGGATGTTGTTGTTTTTATGAACATTAAAACCAACATTAAATGCTGAAAATAAACTACATTCAAGATATTTCTAGCCACGGTTCAATGAACTCTCGGCTTGAAATTGTATTTTCTGTCTTCGTCACACAATTGTTGACAGCTCCCAAAAGTCACCAGTCATATAATCTCTTTCCAAATCTGATTTCACAGTGGGATTGCTGACTGCAGTGACTGGTTGCAGCTGCTTACTAAAATAAAGAGCTTGAGATATTTAAAACAGAAAAATGATCCTCCCCCTGCCTTCTCAGATGTAATGGTATCCAGGAGAGAAGCGTGTGTGACACAGTAAGAAATACAAATTAAATGGGCCAACTTTGTTAATGACAACTGTAACCACTTCACACTTCAAATTAAACATCAACATAATGAAACACTCACTGATACGTTTCAGCCTGGGTGTTGTCAACACAGGAAATTAATAGTTTTATACTCCCTATGATGTCGAGGAACAAAATGAAAAAGTTTATGAGAACACAACAAAGTGCAAAACATAAATCAGTTTTCAGAAATAATCAAGCTTTCAACACTTTGAAAAAAGTTTTAATCACTCAAGGGTTAATATTAAAAGCATTTTGTTCTACCTAATGTTCATATCTTCAAGTAAAATAAGAGTTCAAAGTACATTACATAACAGAAAACTCACACATACATATTTTGGGCAGTGTTTTTCAGCCTGAAAGTGTTTTTTTCCATCTAATACATGTGTTCATGATAAAGTGATTCATTTATTTGATGTTGATCATTTTAATGCTTCAGTTTATGTTCTTGTATATGGAGAAAAATTCATCAGATAATTGAATTTGAACTTAGAAAATATTTAAGGGGAATAGACAAAACGAGAACATCACAAGACTTTACAAATAAATGTTTAAGCGATGCTTCAAAGTTAGGTTCAATATTAATGAGTCGTATCTGTCAGCCCTATAAGTTGTATTCATTGAATCGATGTTTGTTATATCATTACCTCTGCTTGTTTGTTTTCATTTAATAACAGGATGTATGAAATTATGCAGTTTACTGCCAAAAAAGGTTTTAGCTTTCATTGAGCTCTGTGGGTATCCAGCCTTCATTAGTAGATGAAGTTCACATTTAAGGTACTTGTAAGTATTTTAATCATATGACTAAAATGAATGCATTGGTTTTTTTATAAAACCAAACAATTGATCGATTTATGAAGTAAATAATCAGTAGAAAAATCCTTATTAATCAAAAATAACCATTAGATAATCATTGATTAGGTCCACTTCAACCAACTACAACCGTAAAATATTTGTTCTGCATTCATTATTTTACTTTCAAATACTTCAGTTCGGTTTCCTGATAACAGTATGTTATTAGTACTTTAAGTAAAGGGTCTGAATCTTTATATATACAGTCTATGGTCTGAATACTTCATCTAGGAGTGGCTGTATTTGTTTGTACAACTACGCCCTCTAGTGCCAAGTCAGAGCAAACCCAGAGGATTCCTGGGTACCACACCAAAGGTCTACAGTACACTGTCATGTTAAACTTTACAAAATTATAATTCGAGATTTTTTTAAACATTCACTCAACAATCTCCAAAACTAAATCTCAATCATCATCTTTTTTTATTATTAAAATCCTCTCTATTTATCCTGAATAAATGGGATTCTGGTATTTAATATCTTTGCATAATGCTTATCACTTGATTTCATATCTTACTTACAAAAATTGTAAGTTACATGTTTCGAAGCAAAAATTGGAAAAGCCTTATTACAGACTTTCAAAGTGTAAATGGAAATTAAACAGATAATCTGCAGTGTTTGATAGAGTGCTTGAAAGTCACTAAGTACATTTGACTTTATGTCAATGCAATCACATTAATCTAGTAATTTAATTGAAATAAAAAAGATAAAATAACATTCTAAAATCACACTTTCACTTTTGATATACTCTTAGATTTTGTTGCTTCTACTTCTGTAAAAATGTAGCATTATAACTCCAGGAGTTGTATTTTTGCAGTTGAGTATTGCTACTTTTACAACACAAGTGGAATATCTGAATACTATGATATTCATACAATGTTTATCAGGGAAGATGGTACATACAAAAAGGGTGCACAAAGATTACATAATCATATAAGGAGAAATATTTGAAATCCTTTTAATAGATGCAGTGATAATTATAAATAATTGCTGTAGCACACACATATCATTAAATACACAAAGATGTTTTTGACTAGTATATAAAGCTGTCAGAATATTTTAGGCTTCTCCACATGTTGGCACAAGTAAATCATCTGAGTTCATATTTTACAGGCACAACTACTTCTATTATATTTAAAAAGTTGGCAGCGCCCCGCCGTGTTGGGGTGAACATGACCAAAACAAGTTCATGTTGAACTGGAAGTCTACAGTACACAGAAGATGACACCATGTGAGATGAACTACGTGACATTCAGAGAGAGAAGTTTAGAGCCTGAGAAATGTCATTTCAACGCAAACAAACACACAAACTTTGGTTGACAACAAAATGCACCATGTCAAGTTTTTTTACACATTGTTTCCAAAATCCAGTCAAGTACAAATGTAGAAAAAAACATAGAAACTTGTATTCATAAGGCAGAAGTGCTGTTGTAAGAGTTAATGTTCATACAGAGTCAAAACTCTGCAGGCTTTTATCATCAAAACAAAGTAACATGGTTTTATTTCTACCAGTGTAACACATCTATTGGACATTCTACATTCTACTTAAAACCATAGTAACAATATTACATGTTTATGTAAAAAAAATATGCTTGTAATGTTATGCTTGTGTGTAAACCTAGTGAGCATGTAGCAAGAAAGCCTTAAATACATCGAAATGTACAGACATAAGCAGTTTATGACTATAGTACAGTTCCTTTACTTGTCTTTGATTATTGACTGATATCACACTCACACCTCGTGAGCAACCTGCTCAGCCACAGTGCTGCCATACTATATATACACAATCATGTACTTTAGTCTGTACCGGGGAACAAATGTTCCTAATGCCGAGTAGTCGAGGTGATAACACTTGACAAAGCCAGCAGAGAAAGACAAAATGAAAGAAATATCCAAGAAATTGTACCTTAAAAGAAGAAGAATCTTAAGAATGACTTTCCCAGCAAACAATTGACTTCTGTACCTCAGATGAAGAGTGAGGTGTCTGTGCATATAATGTAGAGATTATACATGTTCATGCCTCACACCTCACCACTTATACTAATCCTACAGGATGACCCTACAGGCAGTGATATATTTCCTTATGCATACCTCAGTCTTAGCACCTTTGCAAAATGTCTCTATGACTCCTTGCAGCCTGCAGAGCTGCACAGATACATTTTATACAAGTCTGTTATTTAAGTAATTATTCCATTACTTTTTAGGTTCATATTGTCATTATGTACTGTTCTGAATTTGTGCTTGGAAAGAAAGATTTCTTACTTAACAGTAGTTTCTAAATTCTATCATTTGCACTGTGAAAAGGGACAGATAGATCAACTCTTGACTAACCGTTGCTCTAATATACAACTTATAAATGAATTTGAATGCTAATCTCAAGGATTATGAACTGTTGCCATTTGTTCTTTGGAAATTGAAACAAGTGTGATTTGTTTGTAATATGTATACCTAGTTGTGAATTCCAGATCAACAATCAGGTTGTGAGGTTAGAATATTCTTAAAATGAAGAATTAACAATCAATATAACATTATTATGTTAATTAATTGACTTGGAAAACATTTGATCCCAAGAATGAAAACAGTAGTTCAATCGAGCCACACAGCTCCATGATGCTTTCTTTTCACACCAGACAACAACATTTTTGGTTGAATTAAAAACTGCTTTTTCAACACAGACCATTTTCTGTTTGGCAGAAATTAAAGCATTTTGCCTGAGGATAAAATCAAAAGGGTTATTCTCAAGGCAAGGAAATTGTAACTATGTCACCCTCATGTACTCAGGCTTAGCTAGGCTTTGAGCTGAATTATATCTGCGGCATACTCACTCAACACATGCCAACAGTTAGCATGCTAACATGCTAATGTTTAGGATGTATACCCGTCTGCATTCAGGCGTTGATAAACTCTCACGTATTTATGGATACAGAAACCAGAGACCAGACAGAGGAAAAAGGAAGGAAGGAACCAGGCGGACGTTATCCAGACAAACAGATTTATCTCCACCTGTCGGAGCGCCTGGCTGCCGCAGAGCTCTGAGGAGGAAACATGGCTCAGCTCATCTGCTCCAAGTGTGCCGACAGCAGGAGCCCAGGAGGCAGGAACTCTTCCTGCTTGTTCACCACTTCAGTCTGACGGGACCCGTTGTAGTCGCTGCCTGAAGGTCCAACAAAAAAAAAATAGACTTTGATCTCTCTCATGCGACTGAAAAAACCTTTAGCTGGCCTTTTACGTGCAGCCGGACTGTGTCAATACGATTACACAAACACAATAATCTAATTTGTATGAAACGTAGAGTTCAAAAGCTTTAACACAACTGTTTGTGTGCTGAGGTCAGGTCTTTATAAGTATGTATGTCAATTATAAGCAAGGCATTGATTTGCATCGATGCATTTCAAACACAAATATTAGGAAGCGATAGAAAGCATTATTTTCCACTCACTTGCAGAGACGAGGTCCATGTACTGGCAGACGGCGTGAAGCAGCAGTCTCTCAAAGCTGATTCACAAACAGAGATATTATTTTCCCCTCAGTGTTTTCTAACCATTTGTAGAAACAATCATCAAGTTTCCCAACATACATCAATAAACTTGGTCTCTGTGTTTGTTTAATGTCGATCATTTGAGATTTTTACCCTTCCTGTTTTGTTTAATGTTTGTCCTGCTGTTGCTTCCTTCCTCCCTTCATTGTGTGGGTCATGTCATCTAATACAAACTGGTTTTCCAGGTAGGGAAACATGACCAAGATGTATCACCCAGAGCTATTAGCCTGCATGTCTGTCAGATGAAGTGTAAACAACAAAAGGTTGCTGCGTCGGTGGGTTCTGTTGTTTCAGGTACCCGTAAGAGTGGAGACAGGATCCAGGAAGTTCAGGGTTAGGGTTCATCCATGAGGGGAGGCTTATCAGATGACAACATAGAAGTTGGGCATTTATAATACTATGGAAAGGATTTTAAATCATCCTACATGATGTAGCTTTTGGAATGAAATATGTAGGTGGAATACTAAAGATAATCGTTTTATTTCGATTATGTTGTTTTCATAATCGTTGCAAGCCAAAATCGTAATTGCGATTAAAATACGATTAATTGAGCAGCCCTACACTGAATATAGAAAAAGGATCTCTACCTGCTGGCTAGGTTGGTTGTGTAAACAGAGTTGGGCTGAGCGATGAAGAAGCTCAGGACGTTTTCCTCAAGTATTTCCAGAGTTCCCTGTGAGGAGAGAAACAACACATTGGGTGGCAGCCAGGAGGATCAACCTACATCCCATCATGAGACCTCAAGCCTGGTTTGTGCTTGAGCCAAATACTGAACCTCTTTCTTGATGAGTCATGGTTGTGGTTAAACATGTTTGTCATTTGAAAAAAATCTGTGACAGCACGTCACTGTTTTGACGTCAACTAGGAAAAGGAAACAAATATTTGTGTGATGGTGACTGCGAGACAACAAGCTAGTGAAGCCTCTGGGTTTGATGCACAGCAGAGATGCAGGAAGGACTAGTCCACCAGGTATTTGATCACCGTACGGACAGAAAACTGATCACAAGTTGAGACTTTGACTTAAAGGTCACATATTATGCAAAATCCACTTTTTCATGTCTTTTATACATAAACCCTCTGTGTAAATTGATTCTGAACGTTTCAGGAAACACTTCAGAGACATGTTTGTATATATCTGAGACCTATAATATATTGATGAAAAACAGTATAATAGGGGAGCTTTAAGTTTAAAGCCACTGTAGGTACTGTACGGAGAAGATGAAGCTCACCATGGGGATTTGTTTCCGTTTGAGAGTCGCTCGCAGTCTGCGATCGATCCTCTGGAAGCAGTCCTGAGCGCTGAAGGCAGGATTTACTGTGCAGAGATGAGTGAGGGTCATACAAACAGCCGCACTTTACTCAACAGCCAGCTTACAATCACAAACCGAGATGCTCACCATTCCTCTCGTCTTTGAGCGGGCCGCTGGTGCTTTTCTTCTTGGCCCCCTCCAGCTCCAGCAGAGACAGCAGCTTCTCCTGCTCCTCGCCCGAGCAATTCATGAAGTCATTCCATGGCTAAAAGAGAAAGAGAATAAAAAGCACATTTTTAACATATATTTGTTTAATGAGCGCTTTTAGATTCTACTAAGATGTGATGTTTGGTGCAAGACAAGCTATTGGTCTCTGGCTTTTGTCAGGAGTTGAAAAGGAAAAACCTTCCCCAAAACTTGTCTGTCTTTGATCGTTTTTAGTGTTGGGAAAAACTAAAGAAATCCAAAACCAAGACAGACTTTAGATATACTCTGAGCCCAGCTGAAGACAACTTACCTCTATGTAGTTTGCGTTGGTGCAGGCTTCAGTGAAGATGGATGGGATCGCTGGGTTACTGCAAACCTCCAGATCATCTTTGGTGCACTCATCCTTCTCAAGAAGATTAGCAAGATAGCGTGCTGGAGAAGAAGGGAAAGAAAGACATGGACAGTTGTGATATGAACAACACTTAAGGACAGATTTAGGATTTAAAAGAGGTGATGACTCAATGTAAATGTTGTTTTTCACTGTTTAAGGCACTAAGGCAGGTCTTTAAGGATTGTCCGGCATTGCTCATCCTGCAGCAGATAACAACATCATATCATTTATAAAAAGATCTTACTGTTCTCTAGTCGGCGAAGGCTCTTCTTGCCTTTGGCTCGAGGAGTGAGGTCAGAGTTGCGGATGGCTTGGTTTATATAGAACTGCTTCTTTTTGGTGGGAGACACTCGCTTGGCTGGAGAGTTGGGCAGGGAGCTGCATTGACGCTCCTCTATCAGGCTGAGAAAACAGAGTACAAATGTCACAATAGGTAATTTAGTCACACAACTTCTAAAGAGGAAGTAACAGTAACAGTAATTGTATGAAACTATGACTATTTTACCATTCCTCCAATGTCTTTAACCACAAAAGTAAAAGGCATTCAGAAAAAAGTGTAACCCTTCAGTTTTGAGGAACATACAGTATATCGGGTATGAAGGAGGGGTGATGGTGAAAGGCACAGCACAGGAGAAAGCACACTTAGTCTATTGCAAATGATCTGAATGACAAGGTGAAACGTTGCATCAGTACAGCCATGCAGTATATCATTACAACATAATGTTATTGGCAAGGAAAGAGTGGTTGTGAAAGATGATACCCTATTACTTAAACCACCCTTAGCTAAGAGCTTTAGGGTGTATAGTATCTCCTTTATTGTAATGTGCTGCTGGTGTCTTATCTCTGCAGTATTTCTAAATGCATCTGAGAAGTAATGGCCTCCTGCAGGAGCTGCAGATGTAGGTCAGTGGGTGTTTCTGCTGAATTCCTCTGCCTGTGTGTTGCCATTTTTAGCCTGCAGGTTGTTAGCAACACTACAGCCACATAATCTGATGTCATCTCTGCCTGTCTAGTGGGGTTTATCCAACACTATATATCATATAATGTCCTCTTTGAAATGCAAACCTTAGCAATCGTGAATCTAAGTAACCAGGCAGAAGCATTGATGCAGTTTTAAACCATATTTTAAATGTAAGCAATATGTTCTTTGAACTGTACATGCTAGCGAGGAAATCTCTAAATAATACGAATAATCTGTGTTGTAGCAAGTGCCAAGTGAAGGATTTATCAGATCAAGTAGAAACACCCAGGCGAGATTTAACCATGAATTTAAAGAGCCACAAACAAGATAATCCAGGTTTGCGGGTTAGCTGCCAGCTGTTAAACGGCTAACATACAGATGATTTAACTCCAAGTAACGTCAACAAATGAGCATGATTATCAACATGGCTATGGCTATTTAACTGTCATCCAAGCTAAAGCTAACTAGCATGCTAGCGTTATTTTTACTCACATATAATCCTGTTCTTCATTATTTGTCAAAACCACCATTTTATTCCTGCACAAAAACGGGAAGAAAAACACGCCTTGTATCCTTACGGACCGTGTAGAAACAAAAAGACGCAATAACGAGGGAAAGAAAAGTTTAAAAGGTGAGTTTGGCAGGGGTTGTTGTGGGAAGATAGCGTCTCGGCTGCTAGCCTGACAGTGAACACAAATAGAGTTGAAACACAGAGCGGAGGAAACGAGGAGCTCTCACTCTGTCGCTATAGTTACATGTTGTAATGCTTCAAAACATACAATCACTTTAACAATATCAATTATATTAAACACATTTAAAAACATTTGTATTTTGTAAACATGTTTTCCTCCTTCAATCATTATTTTACCATTTACTTAATGTGTTATTTCTGTAATAATAACAACATATAGCCTATGAACATTTGTATCGCGTTAGTTACACAAATAGGCCTAACTGTTAACAATATTATAGTCGTGGGTTGTAAACGACAATCTTTTCCACCTGTTTATAGGTTTATACCTGTTACATTGAATAATATCTTCACGTAAATACACATAGGCCGCCTATTTATCTCTGTCTGTTTTGTATTCTAAATACTTTGAACTTTAGCACATCTCAGAATATATTTTGCCCACTCCAGCCTATCTCTTTCGTTATTTTCAACATTAACATTGTATCTAATTAAATACATAACTACAAATAGTATTTATTTAAAAAGTAAAAAATAGTATTGCATTATTTTTGACTCTATATCTTGGTTTTTGTCTATGCACCACTAACCAAAGCAAATGTATTGTGCGTGAAGAATTCTGATTCTGATTAATGTCTGGACATGCCATGCTTTGACAGCATCACAATGACGTTTCCTGTGGTAGTTATTATGTTTTTAAATATAGGTAGAAATGTGCATGACAAATGTTTTTAATCAACTCCTGGGTGATTCATCTCGTCAATAGACAATCTTTGACATGCCTCAAACAAATTCCTGTCATAATTTACAAGTAAAACTGCCTCTGCCACCTCCATCATTTTTATAATACAGCATCAAAGACTGGGTTTAGCTCAGACATATTTCATCCTTTGATATCATATATATAAAAAAAAAAAAAACATTGCCTCCCAAATCAGGTTAAGGGTGACTGGAGTTTGTGTGCATGTTACCATAACAGCCAGTTTTATAGGCCTGCAACATCTAATTGTTCTGTGCTTTTCTTTTCACTGCTGCTAGAGAGAAAAGGAGAGCTGTTCAGTTTGTTACGTCTGAGAGAAACAAAACACAGCAAAGGACATTTCTTTTTATATTTAAAAAGCATTTGCAAGAGATGTTTGAACCACACCATTAAAGATTCTCAAAAGGTGTTTTTATACAAATGTTGGAATGATGAGAGAGAAGAAGACAAGGACGATAAAACTAGAAGAACACGAACCAGACGCTTTTCCGATGATCGTAGGTAAAATGAAGATATCACTTCCCCAGATGAGAACCGTGAAATCAAAGGAGAAGATTAAAGTCTCCGCCTCAAACTCGATCTCAACCAAGGCTACTACATGTGAGACTTCAGGGAATAAAATGAGGCTTTGTGTCAACCTGATGCCTGTCCTGGCTGCAGCCAAGGAGAACGTGGAAGAAGAGGAAGAAGAGAAGAAAGAGAACAACAGCTGCATAAATCAAAAAGACACAGAAACCAGCAGCACAGACGAGTCAGTGGAACAAACACTTGATTCTTTCCTGGGATTACATTTGGACACTGATAATGAACAATCACTAAATGCTGGCTCTGTGCTGCCACCTGTAACTCAACCTAAATCTGCTGCTGAGTTTTGTGAGTGTCAGAAGAGATGCCATACTCCTCTGCCTCCTATCAGATTATCTGAACAAACAAGAGGCATCTCTCCAAACGTCACTACAAAAGACTGCAGAGGCGACGGGTTGGTTAAAGGACAAGAAGAAGACTGCAGGTTCTGGATGGACAACCCCATGGTCTCTAAAAGTGTGAGTACCTACTAAACCAGCTGAATACACAATAATGAAGATAAAACATACAATAGGAAAACCAAATAACACTTTTTCACCAATGATTTTGAATGACTTTTCCATGACCTTTACCTAATTTTCCATGACCAAAACAATTACTCTTTCTCAGCCACTGAAAATGGTTTATTTTAACATGCAACAGGAAAATGAGGTCTGCATATGAAACATGTTGTGCCTATCTAAAACAAATCAAATAGGCTTACTAGCTTCTACACGCTAAAGCAACTAAAATCTCTCACCAGCAAAATACCTCGTCAGTTAAATGCCATTTTATGTTTCATTACTATACAATACAGTATTTATTATCATTATAGTATTACTATTTCGGCGATTAGCTAAAATATAAATTATATTTGATGCAACTTTAGTTACATTTCCATGACTTTTCCAAAACTTTGGGAAAAATAGTGTTTTCCATGACTTTTCCAGGGCCTGGAATTTGCATTTTGAATTTCCATGACTTTTCCAGGTTTTTAATGACCGTAAGAACCCTGGATATAAACAAATAGAAAAAGGCATCATTTTTCATTGAAAATGGAAAACAAACAACAAAAAAGTGGACAAAAATAATGATAGGTAAAGAAAATGAAAACAGAAAAACCAAAACGTTTACCTTCACTGGAAAACAGAAGGGATCATCATGAACTTCTGCAAAGAACATGATTAAGTCACAATATGTCTGTGATAGGGTTAGGGTTAAAACATCCTCACCCTAAAGGTCTGACTGACTCTCCTCTCTCTCTCTGCAGAGATCTCCAGAGTTTCGTCTTCCTGACATCTCCCTGTCCAGCCTGGACGCTCTGCTGCAGATGGTCACACAGAAACTGAAGAGGAAGAGGAGAGGAGGTGATGAAGGGCCAGCAGATCATCTCCTGGTGGCTGTTGGAGAGCAGCACATGAGAGAAAAGAGCGCCACAGAGGACGGAAACTTGGCCAACATGTACGTACGCGTGGTGGTTTTGAGAATCTTGTATTTTACTGTAGATAATACCAAAGGGGAATACAGTAGTACATTACTAGGGTTACATTTAAGCTACGGCATTGTTTATATTTTATTTGAAAGTTAAATTAAATATCATCAATTTAAGACTGTACACATATATAATAGCTATAACAGAGGTGAAAATTGTGTAATTTTTTTGTTTTTTATGTATAGGATTATTACCTTAAATTATATACGAAACCTTATTTATTTATTATGTATCCTTAAGAGCATCTAACACTCATTTTAGAGCCCCATAATGGTCTAAAAACTACTGGAATATAAGCGTGGCAATATTGGTAGATCCAGTGTGTAGAACACCGTCCATTACATTTGGTTTCTCTCTTGTCTTTGAACAGTGAAGCAGTAGCATCAGTGAGGAGATGTCGTGTAAACAGATGATCCTGCCTCCACTTTTATCTGCATCAACACCGATGCTCAGCCTCACAATGACGAAGATAAACCTCCCGACTTCCAACGCACAGCAGTGATTCACCGAAAACAACAAACTGGATGCACAACATACAGCACAGCATGTTTTAAAAAGTATACAGGAAACCATATAGTTTTATTTTTCTTCAGGACAAAACATTCACAACAGACATATACCCGTTTCTCCTTTCCTATACTAGCATATCTCCAGTATATAATGCTCATCTTATAGTAGACGCACATATAAATTAAGGTTCAAGTAGAACGTTTCAAGCATAATACATTAACATTACATTCAGTTGTACAGACGTTCATTCAGAAATGACATCCTTTTGAATCCATCTTTATGATCCTGCATCATTTCAGCCTTCTCAATACATTAACCTTTTCAAACATTTGATCTTGTAACAGTTAAATATTTGTTTCATGCCTATAGTTACTTTTGTAACACTCTTTTGAATATGTAACAGTGCAGTAAGAACCTGCTTTGGACATTCAGTCAGCTGCTGTGACAGAATGATAGAAAGATAGAAAAAAGAGGAAAGAATCTTAAAAAAAATAAAAACAAAAAACAGCTTTGACTGAAGGTATATCTGTTGTGTTTGGTGTTTGCTGGTCAGACTGAACCCTATTTTTAATTATTTGTATTATAGATCTCAGATCTATTTGATTTGAAATATGATTTAATTTCGATTGTTGCAGTTTGGCATTATTTAACAACACTTTGTTACATTTAATTGTCTTGTCATAATTAATTGAGATTTGCAGATCTATTAAGATCTGTGCAGGAAGTTTGTGAGTTTGCTTTCAAATGTGACTTATACTGTTAAAATACAAAAGCCAAATATGCCCTAATTAGTGATAAACAATACCCTCGCTTTCAACAGTGACTGTTACCCACAAAAAAATATTTTGACAGATAAAAAGACAAAAATACATTGTTGATTTAAAAAAAAACACTTGTGAAGTTCATCATTTAATATTTAAGAGGTATTTCACAATGAACCCGCAGTAACAATTCTATACAGATATACTGTATATTGTTGTGAAACAACCCCTTAAATGCTTTAATACATAAAATAATCTTAATCATTTAATGTAACACATGATCTTCAGTCATTGTTTGAGCATTTGCAGCATTCTCTTTTTTTTTTAAAGTGCTTTTTGCAAAGTAAAGATGAGATTGTGGGAGGTCTAATGATTGAGCCCTGAGGAACGCCACCCCTTGTTTTTACATTGAGCCTTGCATAATATTTTCTATAACTTTGGATTGATGACATTGATGCAGAAAGAGAAGACAGTGTAAGATTTATGAACCCAAAAAAGGGTATAAAAGCTACAGATATGTTAACAAGGTGAACAAGGCACCAAAGCCATTTTAAGAGGTACTCACCTTTCTTTTTTCAGAGGAGATACATTTACCCCTACAGTAACTTTCATAGTCCATCTCTTCCACTTCTAACCCTGTGCCCTGTTGCGCTGAAAAACATTCGGATGAACGTACAGCAAGTGTTCAAAACTCCTTGTTGTGTTGCAGCAGTCCAATTCACAGTACGCTGTCCTGTGTGTTGCCGTCGACTATAAACAGTGCAGAGGGGTTTTTACTGGAGCTCTCTGCTTTGCGTTTACTGGATTGACTCGCTTCTCCCTGAACTCCACCAGAGCTGCTGTCTGATCCACCGCTGGCCCTCCGGCTCGTCCTCTGAGCCTTCTCCTCTTTCTGAGGTATTTGTGTC